TATTCATCAACTAAATTACAAGATCTATACATTTGCAAAACATAAATTTAAATAAAGAAATAAAATATTGTATTCATAAAATTAGAGATCAAAAGTGAAATGCATTGACCAGTGAATAGTGTAACTTCATTTTTGGACCAAACCTAAACAAGTCAAACTCACCGGTCTGTAAGCAAAACAAACTTGAGTCAGACCCTATTATATGTATATCAAGCATTCCCGTCCAGCTGGTTGTGAGGTTACCGTGCCTAGTGGAAGGTCTCGACTCTCGAGTTCGAAACTCGCTAGACACATAAGGGTTCGAAACTCAATGGAGTGAGTTTCAACCATCATTACTCCAGGCCATCTCCCCCAGACCCCCTGGTGTTAAAAAAAAATGGGTGTCACTCCATCAATGAAAAAGTCATATCCAAAATGGTCAATTCCCGGTCCATAATCATGGTCCGCAATTTGGAATTCAGGGTAAAGGTCCTGGTTCTATTTTGGAGGAATCAGACCGGATCAAGATATTGATTTTGGCCTAGTGTATACTCCCTCCGTCCCCGAAAGAAGTTCTCATTTTCCTTATTTGGATGTCCCTAATTTAAGTTCTCATTTCCTTAAATGGAAAGTTATCTACATCAAAACAGTGCCAAACAGTGCAAAACAGTATCAAACAGTGCCAAACAGTGTCAAAACAGTAAAATTTATCCACTGGTAAGTAAAATTTGCATAAAAGTGTGTGAAAGTCAAATGGGGAATTTCTTTCGGGGACGGAGGGAGTATATTTTTGAAGACGTGACAAGACAGCCCTTAATATAATCACTCAAAATCAAAATTATCAAATTTCATGCACGTCTAGCACACTTGTTTATGTGCACAAAAAACTTCTACACTTTGAAATGAATGACCTTTGTATACGGGAAAAATAGAAAGTGTACACAAAGTATAAAAAATGTGTACAAACAATTATGCCCGGGGGATTTGCATAGGACCACCTCATTCCCAACAAACATCATTATAAGCTTCATCAATTATCTTGTCACATCTGCGTATATTTTTAAACAAACTTTGCACACATATCACTGTCATTCTCTAGTTTCAGTGATCAATTTTGAGTATTGTAGTTATTAGTTGCGCAACTCTCATTGAAGCACCTTCTATGAACTTGTTAGCAATAAATATAACTCTTTATAATGCTGATTATAATTATTTATTTACATGTATTTATATCTTATAACTAATACTTCATATCTATCTTTTTTAACCACTTGAAACAATTTTCAGCTCGCTCAAAACTAAAGAATCTGTCATATATATATAGAGAAAACTTCATGTCCAGCCGGACTGACGGGAACTGCCGTCCAACCGAGGGAATTTCGGGCACTTCCCGATCAAATTTTCTGATGAAATTTTTTTAGCATGTTCTTCATCAAGCCTAGTTTATCCATACCAAATTTCAGCTCAAAATTCGATCAGGAAGGCATTCAAATCATTTTCTGAAGTTGACTGCGTTTTTGCATGTATATTTTGACGCAGTCAACTTCAAAAATTTATTTGAATGCCTTCCTGATCGAATTTTGAACTGAAATTTGGTATGGATAAACTAGACTTGATGAAGAACATGCTCAAAAAATTTCATCAACAAATTCGATCGGGAAGGCATTCAAATCATTTTTTGAAGTTGACTGCGTTTGTGTATGTATATTTTGACGCAGTCAACTTCAAAAAATTATTTGAATGCTTTCCCGATCGAATTTTGAGCTGAAATTTGGTATGGATAAACTAGACTTGATGAAGAACATGCTCAAAAAAATTCATCAAAAAATTCGATCAGGAAGTGCCGAAATGCTCTCGGCCGGACGGCGGTTCCCGTCAGGCCGGCTGGACAAGAACGGGACTCTATATATATAGAGAGAGAGAGAGGACTGCTCAGGTCCCTCCGGAGGGACGGGAGGCACCGTCCGAACTTTACTGTTTGGGGCGGTTCCCGGTGGAATTTTTTGAGCATGTTCCTCATCAAGTCTAGTTTGTCCATACCAAATTTCAGCTCAAAATTCGACCGGGAAGGCAGTCAAATAAATTCTTGAAACTTACTGCACTTTATATATGCGCAGAATGTGCAGTAAGCTTCAAGAATTTATTTGACTGCCTTCCCGGTCGAATTTTGAGCTGAAATTTGGTATGGACAAACTAGACTTGATGAGGAACATGCTCAAAAAAATTCATCAAAAAATTCCACCGGGAACTGCCCCAAACAGTAAAGTTCGGACGGTCCCTCCCGTCCCTCCGGAGGGACCTGATCTTTTCTATATATATATATATATATATATATATATATATATATATATATATATATATATATATGGGGGAAAGATCAAGTACAAAGTGTGCTTATTGTGCAAATATTTGTACGATGCACCTTGACGTTATTTGCATTGCATGTTGAGGTTCAAAGTATTGCACATTATAAAGTCATAAAAATAGCAGTTGCACATTAAGGTGCAACGAATTGCACCCTAAAAAGTTGAGTTTTATTACAAAAATGTCACATTGCCTTTATGTCCTTTGGATCAACTCATCGGACGGTCAAGATGAGTTTTTACTTTGTAAATTAAGAAGGCTTTGTATTTGATCTCTATTATATATATATATATATATGTTGAACTACCCCCAATACAACTCTCAAAACTCAAAATCTAAAAGCTCAAATTACCATCATTTAAATGAAAAAATAACAAGATCAACCAATATAAAGCTGGACATGAACTAAAAGCATAATGTAGAGACAAGGAAGAAAATTCCATGTGCTGTTGTGCTCAAAACGTGTCTGGTCACAAGCCCAAATGGTGCAGATTTCAAAAGGATCAAAGCACATGTTTTATGAAACTTCGAACTGAGCTGTCCCCATGTTCTGTCTACCTTAAACAAAGTCCAGCTAAATTGGCTATTGAAACTGCATGATTATGTGGGTATAGAATGTCATAAAAGAAAATCAATATCACTGAAAGTGTATCACTGAAGCTAATTACTTCCTCCACCTTTCCATTTCATTAAAAAAAAAATCTTCAATCTGGTAAATTTATAACCGTAGCTGGAAAAAAAACTGAATTCTTCCGACAATTTGGGGAAATTGCCATTACGCCATTTCTTGTAACATCATACACGTTGAGTTATACTGAGTATTTCTATAAGGCTGAAATTATACTGGCATTACAATATGGATCAGAATGCTGTAAAGGCTTAGCTAGAATTCTGAATACTTGCAGTCTTATCAACAATCAACACCAAAAGTGAAACAGACTAATAGTAACATGGAGAAGAATACCAAAATCAAATCCTTGAATTGGACATCTTTACTTGAACGGGCTAGGTTCTCGTACCTTTTGATCTCTTTGGGAAGCATGTGCTCAGTTTTATAGTTGAAGTGAGTTGTTTGAAGTTGAATTACTGATACAAGTATTCTTGATTACTACTCGTATTATAAACTGCTTTCTGATACTTGCCAGCATTCTGAGTTGTCACTTAAGATTGATGACGATCAGCTACTCAATTTACCTTGCATTTCCATGAAACCTTAGCCAAGGTTTGCTCTGGGGATTTCCAAGGGAAGAGGGTTTGGTTGATTTTTTACTAATTTATCTTCATTTGTTAGTTCCAACAGTATAAATTTAGGAATAATTTTTTTAAATACCACCTTATACCATATTTTCATTCCGAAATTCCCAAGCCCTCAGTGTTCATCTGGAATTGTGAAAATATGAGGGGGGTAGGAGGACCAGAGGAAAAGTTGAAGGAAAAGGGATCAAATTAGAGAATGTATATTTTTTCTTGGCACATGAGCACACACACTCTAGTAGGAGCAATAAAATTTTACATTTTTTTCAATTATCGTCCATCTCCACACCATATTGACTGACTTATCCCAAGGACCGGGTCAGGTAAATCTCACATAGCCCTTCTCTTCTTGAACTAGTGACCTTAGAGACCCCATTCCTCTTCTCAAACCGAGTCGAGATAGTTGCTAGGTTAAAGAGGATTACCATTTACCAAACATGATATAACTATAGGAATATAGAGGAGACAAATGATTCAGGTTGTCCTACTAAATCAATCTGCAAGTAGTTTTGAGTTTACGGGTGTCGCATACTCTTTTAAAACAAATCTGCAGAATTTGGGCTAGAAAGAGCAAAAGGGAGAACAATATGTCACCCCAACTTTCATTAATTAGCTCGGGCTTTGTTGGATATATTGGTAAAAAATTAGCTTGATTGTTCATGCAAAGAAGAATATTTTGGCCATTTGAAGGATATTTCACTTGGAATGGTTTCAGTCCTAGACAGAAATTTTTACTCCAATTTAAAACATCCGAAATGTAATTAGAGTATGAGACTCTAATTACATTGTTTTTGTATACTCCAAATCGAAGGAATGTGTGCTTGTGAGACATTTTTTAATTAAACAATACTTCATTTCAATGAGAGTTCTGCTTCAAATATTTTGTCACAATGAAGCAAGGTTTAAAACTTCGAATGAAAGTCAACCCATTCAGGACACTGGGTCAATGGTCAAACTAGTGGATCACGAACCAAACTGTTTGTCCCGGAGTATGTAAAACAGTAAAAGAAAGTACGGTCAAACATACATGTATATATAATAAATATATAATTTACATGTATATATAATAAATATATAATTATATTACGTAGTACATGTTATTTTTTACACAATCTAGGTGGTAAACTTATGTATACACTATACAATCATTTTTTATTTACACTTATTGCAAGTAAACAATCAATCAAGAATTTCCTTCTTCTATATAGTAGCTTTATTTTTTACACATTCTAGGTGGTAAACTTATGTATGCAATCTTTTTATTTACAGTTATTTCAACTAAAATATTTTTATTTACATCCGAATATGCATGCTCAGACAGCTACACATTTAAATTCAGGTTTCATAGTAGAAGCAACAGATCACTTGACCTGTTTTCTGCAGCCATATACACACAAGTAATCAAATCTTTTATTAACAAAAGGCCCAGTATTGGATGATGTTACATTCAGTGATTCTGAAGCATCAGATGGATTGACAAGGGGAAAAGAACAGCAAAAAAAGGAGAAGGAAATCAATGGGGGGGGGCGAGTACCTATATTATCTGCATTCTTTGCAGTACTAAATTATAGAACTACACTAATTAGGATTGCTTCGAAAGGAAGTCACAATAATCCCAACTGCTGATAATAGTGCGGATGTAAAAGTCACAGCAGATACAATACTTGAATGTGCCTTCATACCTGCTGGTATGCTCCACACGATTTCATCATCTTTCAGACTCACACTGCTACCCATAGGTTTTAACACACAGCTTTCAGCAGCTGACTCCCCTTGCTTCTTGCACCGAAGAAATAAGTCAGCAACTCCAAATCTGACTTTTGAATATCCGCTTTCTTCGTGGTGCTGTCAGAAAGAAAGAGATTATCAGAGTAGTAAAAAATGCTACTACTATAAAAGAGACATGTAATGTTATAAAGAAAACAGTAAAACAATGAATAAGTATTCCTATTCCTACCTCAGATGACTGGTTTCTAACCTGTCACAGCCGTAAAATCACAATGACAACTATTACGTCAGTTTCAAATCTGCACAGTATATCACTTATTTTACTCTTTCTTCTAAACCAGTGCTCTGTTTATTAAGAAGCTTCCTTAAAAATCTGAATTTCCCGTGTAAACAGGGAAAACGGTTTCATTACCAAGCAACTTTTTTTAATGTTTGCGGACGGAAAATATTTCCTTGCTTTGACTCTTTGGACTTTATTAGGAAATTAGGAGCCATTTTTAAAAAGGGAAGTTGTTTCCGAGACCCGAGACACTTCTATGTTTTTTATTTTCATGAATCAAACATTTTAGTACACACAAAACAACTTATTTTGGAGGGTAACATTTCCCAAACCATGTTACTTTCTTGAAACCAACATAGCCTAAGAAATAAATGGAATAATGCCATCATAAAGGAAAAGTAATTTCTTTTGCCGATTCAGTATATTAAATGGTGATACCACCTCTATCTTCAGATCAGTCTAAATCTGAAAGACATCCATAGAGTCAGAAATTTTCAGGAAAGACAAATAAATACTCCCTCCGTCCCTAATAACTTTGCCAAGTTTGACCGGCACGGGGATTAATAAAATAAAAACTGTGTGGTTGAGGTTTGTGCAGAGGAGAGAGAATTAACTGGAACCACAAATTCTTTACTTAAATGGGAAAGTGGCAAAGTTAATGGGACATCCAAAAAAGGAAAGTTGGCAAAGTTATAAGGGACGGAGGGAGTATCAGTTTTTGGCAGTTGAAGAATGACGAATTGTGTAGTGCTTACAGAATATCGTGCATGTATCGGGATTTCTACATTTAACTCTTTTACAATCTCCTTCTGTGCCAATTCATCAAAGGCTGCTTCTAAGTGAACTTCAACTATTGACTGGTTGGAAAGAAAAGAAGGCAATTCCAAATTTGCATCTCCAAAAACAAAACCGTCTCTGAGTACTGCAATGGAGATTCTGGAGTCAATATAGTAGAAAGTTGAGAAATTAGAGCCCGTTTGGTAAGGATTTTACTGGAATGGTTGAATATGTTGATTCATTCTAAAGGGAAAACCATTTGGTGAAATCGATTTCAGCCAAAACAATCAAGTCAAACAATAATTGTTTTGCTTGTTTTAAATGCTTTCCACGTGAGTAGGATAAGCTGATTAATGCTACCAAACAAGACCTTGATCGGAAATTTCTAAAGCACAATAGGGAGAACACCTCCACGCTGAAGAAGATGCTCAAGCTCGAAAGGGTCTGCAAAAACCCCAAGAGGCAATTTCTCAATGAGTATGACCTCACACGTCTGAAAGGAAATATCAGCTATCCAATCTTGATGAATGCTGAATCTGATAAATGAAGATAGGCGGCGATGAGAACCCTCTCCAATCAGACGGCGTTCAAAGTTCCATAGCCTCCCAAATGTTCTTTCTGACCCAAAAGGGTTCTTATGCACCATATACTCTTGGAAATTGGAATCACTGCAACTCTCATACTCTCTGAAATAAGACTCTAAGATGTATCTTGTATAACAAGGCAACAAACTGGAGTTGTGTTTGTTAGAGTTTACTTTGTAGTTGTTGTCAGTATCCTGAAACACAGTAACAGGAAGAGTCTATGAAGAAACTTAAAGGGATTAATTGGAACATAAAAACTACTAGGGAAATAAAATAGGCTACTAATTGGAAGAGAATAAAATTTAATGGAAAATAAATGATTGGCTCAAACTTAAGCAACTTGTTTTAGGTCTTCTTTTATTTAACCACTTCAGAATCTAACTAAGAAACTAGCTATTGCCACAGAAACTGTGTTTGGCTTGTCAAAAGTCTCAGTTGACACAAGAGATCTGCTATTAAGAAGAATACAAAGATGCTTAGAATAGTGACTGATATGAAACTGAAAAACTTAAAAGTTAAAACGCAAATACGCAAAATAAACTATATATTAGCAAAGCTAATGTATTTGAGGTCATAGTTGGATAAAGAACATTCCCTCTTCAGAGTGACTGGGTAACACATCTTTACGCTAGTAGGTGGAGGAATTTGTTACAAAGACTAATTAAGAGTTTATTAAAGGAATTACTCTGAGTTTAATGGAGATGCAAAACACCTCTGCGAACACCTCAATAAATCAAACTTTCATGGTGATATGTAACCTTATATAATCCTTAACCAATCAACAATATTCCTGATCTACCCATTCCACATTGTTCTTCCAAACGATGAAGATAGAATTGTCACTAAGAAGAACCATTCAATAAAATCAATAAATGGGTAAGCAAAAGTATATCACTCCAAAAGGGGGAGGGTTTACTGACCTGATAAGAAATTGAAGAGCATACACAGATGGTAGAATGAAAAGCAAGCGCAATCAGAATGTGTGGAAGAGCTCTCCCAAATTCAACTGCCATTTTACAGAGTAAATCCAACAGAGGCTACAGAAATGGTCCGAGCTTCTCCTCTCTCAATAATTATTTTTCACTTTGCAGAAGAGAGATATTCCTGTTAATAGAGCTTCGTCCAGCGTCCAGGGCGGATCTAGCATTACCATCCAGCGGGGGCCAATATGTAATGTACAAAGTATAAAATAACATCCATTGCAACAGGTCTGAGAGAATATGAGTTTAATAAATTAATACTAACAACTAATGGGAATATGTGAAAATAGGAGGCAGATATTGATAGGGACCTAGACAATAAAGACTGATATAATAGAATAATACCACGTAGTAATTAGTGTTAGTGTACAACTGAGAGTTTTGGGCCTGACTTGGGCCAGCTCTTTAGGATAGGAATATTATAAAATGGGGAAGGAGGGTAGAATAGAGGAGGCTGGAATTATCATTTTGGGTTTGGAACTTGGAGAGTTGGCACTCTTTAACTGCCTTTGTATTTTCTCTCTCTTTTCTGTTATACGAACCATCACCATTGTTACGTATCTTGATTTCTCCATAGTTAGCTCTCTGAAATTACTGTGAACTGGTCTGTAACCTATCATTGGTATCAGAGCTGTTGTTTCTGTCGTCTGTCAATAATCGCTAATCAAGAAGCGATGAAAAGTCAGCTGCAGAGTTTGCAGCGCGAAGGGGAACTTAGTCTCGAAGAGAGGCGGAAGGCATGGAAGAGGAGTAACGAAGAGATACAGAATGATTTAGCAGAGTTGCGCAAATTGATACTGCAGTGGTACGGTCGTCGTGAGCGAGGAAGATCATTGACCATAAAGCACTATTGGAATTCGAAAAGCAAGAGCAGTTCGCAAACAGTTCTTCAACGTTCGCAGAATTCGTCGAGTTCGCAGAGTTTGTAGCTACCTGATTCGCTGAGTTCGCAAGCTTTGTCGCAGGCGCTAACCAATTCTACCACTTCGCCATTGCTAACCGAGCATCACCAATCGTCATCTCAAGTTTCTTCGCTGGGGATTTCATTGACGTCTGACGACACCAAATCTTGAGTGGAAGCCGGCTGAACCCTCAGTTCCGGAATCGAATTTAGACGAGGATATTAATCAGTCGACGGGATACTCACCAGATAATTTCGAAGAGTCCGAACCCCTAAGATCTAATATTCCTTACAGTCATGAAAGAAATTGTACCTACCACACTGATCTTGTCTTGGGATTGAGCAACATTACCACAGGGGCTGATGAGGGGTACATGTATCCCCCACCTATCCTTACTTATGAGGGTCAGTAGTTTCATATGGCAAGTAATGGTCCACGGCTCAAGATACTCAGGAAAAGAGATAAGGATCAGGAAGGTGACCGTGTGTCCCAAAAACTTTTTTGTTTGTCCCAAAAAACTTTTTCATTTTTTGAAGCAATGAGTTTTTGACTTAGTTCATTTCTATTATCTCTGAACAAACTTAAACCACACAACTCTTACTTTTCTAATATCTCACTTCACATAAACTTGGCAAAGTTGAGATCATATCTTTGATTCTTTTCTTTCTTTTACCGGGGGTCAGGAATCAGGATAGTGGCCGGAGATAGTTAGGGTAAAGAGCGCTCAGACTCCATGCATAGAGTTTTGACCACCCGAGACTTCCCGTACATGCGAGTGAGTCAGTGACTAATTGAGCTAGATTGCTTCCTCTATGTAATTCTATGGGGGTGTTTGGCAATCCACTATTGGTTGTTAGCTGATAGTCGATTATATTGACCGTTTGATACCAGCGTAGTCTGTTAGTTGTTTTTAACAGCCGCTATCATTTGCGAGTTCAGGGGCGGATCAAGGATTGAGATGTAGGGTGGGCTAAGTAAAAACAAATTGTTACTATGCATGCAAGGTTTAGCTCAGGATGTTATTGAATCGAGCTTTTTTAGAATTATATACTCGAGTTCAAGCTTGATTTTGCCTCATTTAATGATCCGAGCTTAACGAGCTTCAAACTCGAACACAGACTAGGTTTTGAGTTTGAATAATTATTCAAGGTGAGTTCGAACATAGTGATGTTTGGTTTGATCCGGAATCAATCCTATCCTTTACTTACAAATTTTAGGAATAAATAATATACGAAGTACTCCCTCCGTCCCGCTATGATTGTCCCATTTTACCATTTCGGTCCGTCTCACTAAGATTGTCTCATACCTTATTTGGTAAAGTTTGTGTGGTTCTAAATCATTTCTACTTTATTCTTACTTTATCAATTCAATATCAACCACATAACCACACTTTTATTAATAACCTTGGCACCTTCTCTTGTCCCAAACTTAGGGGGACGCAGGTAGTATATTGACAGACGTTATATTTACTTGTGTTTAACATAAGTATTTATAAGTATTTGTTGAAGAAAAGAAGAGAAATCGGACAAATACCTTCAGAATGAGAGCTAAGACATAAAACATTGTGATGAACGGTTTTTTAGACCAAGAGGATGACGTTCTGCCCATAATTTGAGTATAACGTATTGTAGAGAACTCGAAATCACTCGACTCGAATTGCATGTGAATGCTAACTCAATAAGGAACAAATGTTATGAAGACGTCATGGCCAAAATATGAAAGGAACAAGACTCAATCAACCAACAAAGTCAGATGTTGCTGGTGGGATTTCAGGATGCATACCTCTCAGTGTTTTAGCCATAACGTTTGATTGGATGAATAAAATCACGTCATTCAAGTTTTGGTGGATAGGAGACTTCATTATCTACAACTTTGGTGAAGGAATAATGTCCAAATTCGTAGCGGAACATCCCCAAAATCCTGGGACAAAAACCGACACTTTTTGATCAATTTCGGAAGAAGAGAAAGGAAGCGCATTTTTGGGCGCTGCAACCGGCGCCGGTCAGCCTAGAACCGGCGCCGGTTGGAAGGCTTTTTCGCACTAAACGAGCCTGTTTGCGACTGGGGCCGGTTCTAGACTGACCGGGGCCGGTTGGGACGATTTCAGCTCAAACAAAAGGTCGTGCAAGAGAATTTTTTATGGGAAAACTTCACCTTCCTCATCTCTTGATCAAATATTGCTCCATACCTGATTGTTGGGCTCGAATAGACTAAAAGATGTCATTCTTTAGCCTATATAAAGCCTTCAATTCATCAAGCAAACACATTCCATTCCATAGATTAATTCTTAGCTTTTATATTTTTGTTCTTGGTATTTTCTTCAAATTCTTGAGGAGGAAACTTCAACCTCCAAAACCATTGGTGTTTAGGTATTATTTCCTTTGTAATTTCATGTTCCATTACATTTCATATTGTATTGTGATTAATATGAGCATTAGAGGCTAATTTCTTAGCTAAGGCTAGGGATGAACCTCTATGCCCATTAAGTGTTTGATAAAAGTTCTAAACCAATAAATTGTGATTTATCCTTTATATTTTGATTGTTTATGACTATGGTGTACAACATAGAAGTATGTTAAATTTAGTTTATGCTTGCAATTAACGTTGAAGTCTAAACTATGAACATTAAAGGATAAACATATATAGTACCGAGAATAGAAATATATCCGGTCTTATATGATACGGGTGTGATATCTTGATATTCAACGGGGTTTTCGGTAGATGAATGTAAGCCGTAACGGGACTTACACGTAACGAAAACCACGCTCTCGCTGCCTTAACCGAAGTTGAGAATATATTAGCGACATCGTATTCATAATTATTGGGAAAGAACTATTATTAAATAACTATTAAAGCATTTAGGTGAATCCCGATTGCCTTAGTAATTCTCATTCTTGTTTAAAATATATCATTTACATTCTTTGCATTCAATACTCGACTTTATAATATCAACCATTTCCCTGTGGATCGACCCGGTATTTACCGGTATTTTATTACTACATCGACACTTGTATACTTGCAACTTGCAAGTTCAAACCGATCATATATCTTAAAATTTAAGCATTTTCAATGCAACTTTATAAATTTATTAATGATTATTAAAGATTCGAGTTTTTATTGAATAATTTGAACATGAATCCATTAACGAGTATAGTCTAAACTTATACATTCAAGGATGTTTATCGTGTGTTAAAATTGAACACCGAAAATCTATCGAACCAAAATCAAGCTCAATTTCATAATAAGTAAATATTCATTTCACTTTTCTTTCTTCTCAATATGTTCATTATCCATTCTAAAAAAACATTTTCAATATTGGTATGAATTAAAATACTTCTATAAAATTATAAAACTAATAAGTATTTCCAATTTCAAAATTCAATCGAAATCTTCAATTTTTTCTTACATGTCCACACAATAAATAAATCATTCTCAAATAATTGTATAATCAATAAATAATTCTCTAAGATTGAATTCTATTTTTAATCATTATAAATTTATAATGAATTTTTTTCCTATTTTATTATGTACTGAAATTTTCAATTAATAATGAAGTTGATTAACTAACGGAAGGACGGCCAGAGACTCAATTAATAATTGAAATTTTCAATTAATAATTCAATCATTCTCTAATATACGGCCAGAGAGTAAATATTTCAATTAATAATTTAATCATTCTCTAATATACGGACAGAGAGTAAATATTTTAATTAATAATTATTCTCTAATATACATGACAAGTTAACAAAATTACAAAATAAGAAAGTAAAGATCTAAACACAAGAAACTCACCAGCAAGGCTGCGCCAGAGAGGAAGGACGGCTGGACGCGCGGCGCGGCGGCTTGGTGTTCGCTCTTCGTCGGCAGCTTCTTGCCTTCATCGCGAGCTCTTTCTTCGATTTTCTTTATCTCCGGTTCGCTAAGAGCGCATCTGGCTTTGGGCTTTGGGCTGGGCTGCTAATAAATTTTTGGTGGCCTGATAATAAAACATATACTTCTACTAATAAAAAACAAAATTTTAACTTACCTTTTTATTTTTTCAAGTACATTAACCATTATTTATATAATCACAATTATTATTATTATTATCTTGAATATATATATATATATATATATATATATATACATGCACACAAAAATACAAAAATGCTCTAGTATATAACATATATTCACACATTCATGTATTTTTAGTATTGATATTTTAAATATGAATTTTTAGTAACTTTTAAAATAATATTTTATATAGTCACTATTATTATTTTTATTTTGAGTGTATTTTAAATATATTAATTACGATATTTATTGTCGGTGTTATTATATTCTCGTAATTATTTTTCTTTTTATTTCATTTTTTGAATAGCTCTAAAATAATTAATGAGAGGGCTAGAATGAGAAGGTATATGAGGATTTTAAATAATAATATCAAAAGGCCATTGTGAAAAGTTACTAAAAGTGGCTTTTTCATTTTTGGTTTTTCCGTAGCGAACATCCAAATCAAAAAATTGTTTACCAAACACCTGACAGATGTTTGACAAAGCCAAATAGCTAAAGTCATATAACTTTGCTCCTTATGAAATTTCACGCACAACACTTTGCTCCTAAGTAAACTTCGCACACAACACTTTGGTCCTGAGTAAACAATGCAATAAATTAAACTTTACGCTAGAGTGAAAGACGATACGCAAAAACTAAAATCTGAGTCGATGATGGAGAAAATGATATGCGGTTACTCGTAATCCACCATTGATCGTAGATAATCGATATTTTTACCTAAAAATGAAAAAAAGACATCAAAAACAATGGTTAGCGCAGGAAGCACTATTCGTCAATTCCTGAGTCAATCGATCGCACAGGACCGCTCCGATACCAGATGTTATGTCCTTTTTACTAGTCTAACAGATGGATACAGTGAATAAAGCAGAAGCAGAAACGATAACAATGATGTATTACCAGAGAAGAATCTCTCAGAATTACATTGCAATGAAAAATACGTAGAAACTCTCGCTCTGCTCTCTCTCTCTCTCTCAACATATTATATGTGCATAAATGTAATGAAAGAGTGGTTTGAGCTCATTCCCTTTAGGTAATATATCTATATACCCGAAGAGCCGATGTGACTAAAGGAATTATTGGGCTCCTTTATGAGGTGGCCCAATACACATTTGACATTATTTACGTATAATAGTTAGTCTACATAAAACTAGTCTAATATATACATTTAAGAGACAATTAAAATTAAATTAAATCACAAAACAATATTCTCTAACAATCTCCACTTTTGTAATCAATGCACTTTAGTTTTTATTCGATTATGTTTCTTGAAGCTCAATTCTTTTGTCGATTTGAATATTGGTAACATCTGCAAGAAGGTACGCCATATATGTTGCATCAAAAATAGTACCACGGGGAGCCTTGGTCACTCATATTACACATATAAATGGTCTAGAATTGCGTATCACGGCCCCTGAAGCAATAGAACCGTGATACAAACCTTTACCATGTAAATGTCTCACAGTTTTAAATAAGGAGTCGAACAAAGACGTGAAATCAGTACAAGTAGTATCCCACCACGTAACAGAGTGTGCATCGTTCTTTCAATTCTGTTATTTGCCATCCAACCACTCCTCAAACTCCGAATCAATACTCACAATAAATACCAACCAATCACTTAAGTGAATTTGAAATTTCGTTCCAATGGTGCCATCTATTTTTGAGAACTTCTGTTAGTAAGTTACCCATTTTCCAGCAGTCTCCTTGTCGCTTAACTTTAAGCCAAGAGACTTTGTACCCCATAAACATACTCTCCACATGCTAATTCCGCTACACGCAGTACCTTTTATGATGTTGAGTGTAGCGATGGGTGCAAAAGTTGCTTTTGCGAACCCCTCTTGAATATTCATCAAGTACTCCTCGATCCAAAAACTTGATTATGAGATTGTTAATCAGTATCAGCTGTGAAGTATTGAATATTAAATTGATCTTCTCTCTGCTTAATCATTATTATATGTGATTGTCGTAATGCTGAGAACAAGTGGTGTCAGGGCGCGGGTGTGTGTCCAGTTGAATTTATTTGCATTTTTCAAATCAAATCACGTTACCATTTCGGAATTATCTGTGCAAGGAAAGTAAATCTTTTCTTGTTACCATTAACTTTGTCCATTTATATAAGGAAAGTAAATATGTTCTTATTACCAAATATTCGGCATATAATTAGATTATATTCAAGATATCATTTGTAATTGTGTTAAATCTGTAGTTACCAATATTAGCTGCTCATAAACTGTATATATGTAATCATTTTGACAATCAATAAAATTATCTGTTCTCACTCTCTTACGTGGTATCAGGTTCAAGTCTAGTTGTGGTTTTGACTGCTTGATTAAGGTTAGCTTGTTAAGGTGTGTTTGGTCCATTTATACACCCCAATATTGTCCAGTTTGGTTCGGGCTGAGGGGACTTATTAAAAGTATTTTTCCCACACCGAAAAGTTATAAAACAGTAAAACATTATACTATCATATAAAACTTTGGACTGCTTCTTCTATCAGGTTAACTTTGTAGGATGAAACATTGAGTCATAATATGGTGTTCAGATTCACCCTTGTGCTAATGGGCTTCTTTTAAGCTAGAGCCATTATATACATGACATCTTACTGGATACAAAAATGCAGGATGTTAAAGATGTTTTCTTTTGGGCTAAAATTTGTTGGCCTGGTCTGGTCTGATCGCGTCTGGTATGGTAATCGTCTGGTCTATGTGTATTTTATAACTACGAAAGTCTGGTTTGGTCTGGTCTCGTTTGGAACAGAAAACAGTCTAAAAGAAAACATCCTAAACTTATGTCAACGCCCATGATGTCCTCATTTTAGCCGCTTGCAAACAGTCCCACATTCACGCATCTTTCACTTTTCCGACACGTAATTGGCTCCCTCCAATATCTTCATTTAACTCGTCCTGACATCAACTTTGCCGTTAACCGACTAGCTCAACGAATACATGCACCCACAAAAGATGATTGGACTGCCTTAAAGAGATTATTACAGTATCTCAAAGGTACCACCCAACATGGTCCTTTTCTTCCAAAATCTGCTTCCCTTTCTTTGTGAGCTTATAGTAACACTGATGATCACACAAATTGTTGTTCTATCAATGCTTACCTAGTGTTTGAGGGCCATGTTTGCTATCTTGGAAGTCATTTAAACAAATGACATTTGTGCGGTCTTTAACTGAGGCTCAGTATCACGCACTAGCATCAGCCGCAGCTGAGGTTGCCTGGGTTCAATCCCTCCTCTTAGAGTTTCAGATCTCTACTCCCAATCTTCCGACTCTGCTATGTAATAATGTCATTGCAACCTACATTTGTGCGAACCCCGTTCTTCACTACCACATGAAACACCTCGCCATCGACTATCATTTTGTTCGGTAGCGTGTACAGAAAAGGTTGTTTCATGTTCGCCATGTTCCTTTTGATGATCAACTCGCCGATGCACTAACTAGACAACTTTCTTGTGGACATTTTCTCCTCTTACGTTCCAAGCTCAGGATTGCTCCTGCCACTCCTGGTTTGAGGGGGCGTGTAGAAACAAAGTAAATCTTTCCTTGTACCAATTCTTTACATTTGTACAGGGAAAATAAATCTTTTCTTGTTACCAAATAGTATGCACATCATTAGGTTATATATTCAAGATGTCATTTGTATGAACATCATTAGGTTATATATTCAATATGTCATTTGTAATTATGTTAAATCTTTAATTACCTTAAATAGCTGCTCATAAACTATATATATGCAATCATTCTAACAATCAATAAAGTTATCTCTTCTCACTCTCTCATACTATCCCAATCCATTTAGGATGTACTTTTTCATCCTGAGCCGGTCTCGTACTGGTATCAACCGGGATGGGACTGATACATCTACAAAATATCATGTCCTGTCCCGGTGTCCCGTGTGAAATTATTAAATTATTATATTATAAATTTCTAATGCTATGTAATAGCATAGACCAACTAAAGATTTCTAGACCTTGGCTTCCCTGGTGTAATTTTGTTTTATTTCACGTCTCTCCTAGTCTTATTAAGAATGGTTTCTTTTGATTAAGATTTGTTTAGTTCTTATTGCAATAACATACGCTAAGAATCCTGAAATGTGTAGATTATAGCCACGTGTTTTGCTTTTGTTCTTTGTTTGGTTAAAATGCTAATTGAAGTGCAGTGCTTTTTGTATTGTTATACCACATATATGCTGAAAAAACCGAAATGTAGACATCTTTTTGTACTGCTTTTATTGAAATGCAGCATTGTGAGTGACACATGTTTAAGGGAAATTAGAGGTTTTGCTTAACCTTTTAGGGAAGCTAGATTTGCACAAATGGTTATGTCTTTATTTTGATGTTATGTTTTTTTTATCACAATTCACAAATGCGGATTTTATGGGATGTTCTGAATCGTCTCGGGTTTTCTCAGGTTGTCCTGGTCTTGTTTTGAATGGGACAATATTAGAATAAAGACTTATCCCGAACCTTACCAGATCGTTAATACAAAACCCGACCAGGATCGGGATAAGCCAAATCTCGGACCGTCCTGGACCATGCCTGTCACGCCCCGGACCTATCCGGACACGTCAACAGTCCGCCGTACAGTACGAATAGTCAACCACAGTCCAACACATCCATACTATACAAGGCGTCTGTAATATCATTCACAACAGTACATCCGTAAACAAACATAATGTAAAAATATTCATTCAAAGCAGCGGAAACATTCAATACAAGTGTTCATGCCACACCTTGGCAAACATGGGCATACAAGCCCCCAAATAAATATTTAAAAATAATATCCATGAGCATTTAACTAAATGGTTTGTAAAAATGGGAACAGAGGAAGCACGAACCACGTCTCCTCTCCTTGGAACTTCCCGAAAGCAACGGCGATGGTAGCAACCTTCAAGTTCTACCTGAAACTGTGAGG